ATCTTTTCCAATAAAACGAATATAAATAGCCGCGCCAAAAGCTCTTTCCGATGCATCGGCAAACACATGCAACTGGGTTTTCGTCGGGATCTCTCCACAGAATACATGTCGCGGTATCTTAAAGTTGTTGAGACCTTCCAATTCCCTTCGAAATGTTTTCCAAGTGGCACAAAGTTTTTCGGGTAATGCTTCGTCCCAATCTAATGTATGTTGCCACAGCTGCTGAATAAATATTTTTGCCTTCACCACAATCGGTGCAAGTAGGCCAAGCGGATCAAATAATTTTGCTAGTTCAGACGTAACTACTCGTTTTGATATGATTTCATTATGATCAATGTTCGTTTTTACACAAAATTGATCTGCTTGCGGCATCCAATATAATCCCAACGTCTTTATTGTTTGTGATTCGTTGAGATCCAGGTTCACTTCTCGATCGCTATGTGGTATGTCCTTCAGCAATCTTGGTGTATTGGATGACCATTTCCTTAGAATGAAGCCGTGTTGTTTCAAGATTGTTATTAACTCCTTTTGTATTTCAATAGCTGTACTTAGGCTATCTGCACCGCCGAGACCGTCATCCATATAAAAATTATCTTTCAGCATTTGTGAGCCTAATGGATAACGCTCCATGTTCTCGTTTGCAATCTTTTGTAAGCATTTTGTAGCCAGATACGGTGCTGAACGTGTCCCATATGTGACCGTATTAAGTTTGTAATAACTGACTGGATGGGATGGATCCTCTCTCCAGATAATTAGCTGATACCTTTGATCATCGGGATGCATTAAAATCTGCCTGTACATCTTTTCAATATCGGTTGTGAAGACGAATTTTGGCAATCCAAACCTCAGCAAAATAGAAAACAATTCACTTTGTACGATTGGTCCTGTATACATTAGATCATTTAACGATTGACCTGATGAAGTTTTCGCTGATGCGTCAAATACAACCCTAAGTTTTGTTGTTGTACTATCGGGCTTAAGAACACAATGATGCGGAATAAAATATTTAGGATTTGATACGGTACACACGTCAATCTTTTGCATGTGTCCTAATTGTTCATATTCTCGCATAAATTTAATGTACTGACTTCGGATATCTTCCTTCCGTAGAAGTCGGCGTTCAAGGCTCATAAATCGGTTATAAGCCATTGCATGTGATTTCCCCAATGCTGTTGGAGATTCTTGAAACGGAAAGCTGACGATGAAACGACCATTCTGATCCGTCTTAACATGTTGATTGAAGTGAGATTCGCAAAGGGTTTCTAATGGAGACATGACCTTTTCAGTTGATTCCACTTCCTCAAGTTTCCATAATTTTTCGATAGCTTGTTCCAGTGATGTTTCACTAAAAATTGCGCATGTTAGCGCTGCTGATGTGTCGTCCGTTGACGATTGTTGAACTAAACCACCTACAATCCAGCCAAGCGCAGTATTTTGGAGTATGGGTTGATGACCATTTAGTTTTATTGTGCCTGGTTGCATTAAACTGAAGTAAAACTCAGCTCCGAGTAAAATGTCAATTTTCCCTTGAACGTTAAAATTAGGGTCTGCTAATCTAATATTCTTGGGAATTTGCCAGTTTTGTATATCCAAATCATGATTTGGTTGCGGAGGTATAATTGTGGGCAAAACAAATGCTTCCAAATTTGTGGAAAATTCAGAATTGCTTGATAACATTTGTATGTTTACCCGATGATAAGCCTTCTTCTGAATCCTTCCGACTCCGGAAATAGATAAAGAGGCATCTGTTGTTCTAAGTGACAATTTTTGTATGAGTCTTTCTGTCACAATGTTCACTTGCGAACCCGAGTCTAACACCGCTCTAAATTCGCCTGACATACCGTTAGTCGCTTTGATGATGACTCTAGCCGTTGCTAGAATTACATTTTTCTGATCTTCTGCTGATGCCGAAGAAACTGCAGTAACGTTAACTGGTGCGATATCGATTTTTGTTGGTGGTGATTGATTTGAGGCCTTCGGCGACGGTTGAGATTTTTTTGGCAAATGTAGCAATGTATTGTGCTTATTACTACATATTTTGCAGTTGCCAGAAAAACAAGTTTTTGCTGCATGGTCCGATTTGAAACAATTTACACACAATTTATGTTGCTGTATCCATTTCAATCGCTCACCTTCTGTCATTGCCAAGAACTTCTTACAATGATAAACTGGATGGGAGTCGTTCTTGCATAGTTTACAACTCCTGTGATCCTCCACTGATGTTACGGACGAAACAGTTTTGGTTGAACCCTTGTGCGTAGATGCCGCTTTTCCAATCGATTCCATTGATTCGAATTGAAGTTCCAAAAATGAAAACAGCTCTTTCATAGTAGGAACTTCCTTCGGATTCGCCAGTGATTGCATGAATCGTATGTACAGAGCGTGATCCAATTTCTTTGTGATCAATTGAATTAATAGAGCATCCCAAGACGTTGTGTCGATTTGAAGATTGTTGAGGGCTAGCATGCATTCCTTTGTAGTGTCATGCAGAGCCTTGATGGAGGCCGTTGATGAAGTTCCATTTGGTTGACTCAAAATCCGTTCTACTAGAGTGGAAACAAGAACCCGCTTATTGTTATAACGTTCTTGCAGCAACATCCATGCCGTTTTGTAATTATCCTCTGTCAAGGATAGATGACTGATTAGTTTGCCAGCCTCGCCAGACAAATTGGTTTTGAGATACCACATTTTTTGAACACTTGGAAGAGACTGTTTGTCTACCATCTCCAAGAAAAGTTCATAGAACTGACGCCACTTCAAACAATCCCCATTGAATTGAGGAATTGTTACCTTTGGTAGTGGGAGTGAACTGTGTGCTATAATGTCACTCCCTAATTGAGGTGCAATGGTCACGGTTTCGCTGCATTTGTCTTTCAAGACTGCAAGCTTTATTAAGTTGTCTTGTACCGAATCTTCCAGCATATCGTAGTTTTCTTGACTTAATCCAATTTTCGATGGATCTTCAATCTGCTGCAATATTTCATCGTAGAGCTCCGTTATTTGATTCCATAGCTTTTTTATAGTATCTTCTTTGATGCTATAAAATTGCTTCGGCTGTTCCGCTTCGATTGTGCCCAAGCCTTGCAAGTGACGACTAAGGGCACTCATTCGAGCATTTATCATTCTGACAAGCCCATCAACACGGGAAGGTATTTTGTCTCCTGCGACAACTTCAGTCGATTTCTCTCTCAAGGTGGGAACTGGCTTACTTTTGGCTGACCTCAGTTTCTTTATTTCCGCGTCTATATATTCCATTGTTGAGCTGAACTTCTCTCCAATCGTTCTATATAGATTCCGAGCAATATACGGATCATCCTCTGACAATGATGGATCATCGCGAATTCTGTTTTCTGCCTTCTCAAAATTCTGCCATAACAGCCTTAGTTCATCAAGTTTGCTCTTGTAGAACTCTTCCGTTCTCCTTTCAAGAGGTGCCTTCTTTATAGTAGAGACGAATTTTTCGAAATTGCTGCCTCTTTCTTCTTGCTGAGAAATAAGCTCTTGGACGTTTGCCATTATTGTTTGTTGATTTATCAGCGAGTAGCAGCAGTTGTTGTATGATGATTAGTTACCGGCAATTTCCTCCTGGTTTTCCTCCAGAGCTCCAAAAGGGGGTTTTTGAAATTGGTACGCGTGCGTTACGTCCTCACACCTTGTGGATAACGTCACCAAAAAATGTTTCGGTCTAGTTATCGTCAGGATCACGTCTTACGATTCAAATCCTTTACCGCTTGTGGGGCAAAAGGATGTGTGTAAACGATCTCGCCGGGGCCTCCAAAAAAAAAAATGTTTTGATCGGGGTCACCAAATCATCACGTCGGGGTCACCAAAAAATGTTGTGATAGTAGGATCTAGTGCGATTCAATCCAAACACATAAATTTGAACTGACACTTAGTATCCAAATTAATTTCCTTCCAAGCACATGAACTTGAAGGAAGCCGCCTTGATAGTAATTAAAACTCTTAGTTTAGTCACTACAAAAGACGACTGAATTTTCTTTATTTCTGGCTGTCTTTATATACATAATTTCTTAACATAATTAATTAAAAAATGCTATTGATAAATGCTGATATAAATTAATTGTAATGTAGGTCGGTTACTAGTAGACATTAAATGCTATGTAAGCAAAATAAATAAATGTGTTAAAGAAACTTAAAAACATTGCAAAAGTGAATGAACCAATGGCCAATGAACTAAAATAAAGAAAATTAACTGTAACAATAGTCCAAATATGTGATATAATAATGCTGTATAAGCAGTTTTAAAACTTATAAATATGTAGGTGTGTTTGATTTTGTATTTATTGTTTGTTTTGGTAAACAATGGGTTTATTGAGCTTTTATGGTCAAGTTAATTAAATGAAAATAAACGAATTTATTTCATATTCTGCTCAACGCTTCGTTGGCTTGTTTCCAACTTTTTCAAGAGCGTTTTTTTTATTGAATTCTGGTTATAAATGAGAAACATATTTCATTATTAGAATTTTGTTTGGTGACATATTACACATTAAATTTAACTTTCATCAATAATTATGCATTATTTATTTCTTATTAATATTAATAAAATGGGACTCCACAACATTTAATTAATATAAAGTAAAAATAAATAATCAACAAAATATGAATCACAGTTAAACTTAAGCTAAATCACAGAACAAAACTACCATATTTAGACAAATTAATTATACGAGACAAAAACAACATTTTAACTGAATGGTATACAAAAAAGATATCATCAGGATGAATAATAAACTTCCACTCCACACAACCACTAAACATGAAAATCAACACAACAAAAAGCCTACTTAACAAAATAATGTTCTTAACAGATGAACAATTTATAAACAGAAACATTAAAAAGTATGCAGAAATATTGAAGAAAAATAGTTATCCACCTCATCTTATAAAGAAAATAATCATTGACTGCAAAAACAAAGAAAACAAAAATATAGAAAAAACCAATAAATCAAATGAACAAATTTTTGTGAGTGTACCGTAGCTGCCAAATTTAACAAAAACAAAAAACCTCAAACAAATAATTAAAAGTACAACAACAATGATAGCACACAAATCCAATCAGACAATGCAAGAGATCTTCAAACGCACAAAAACAAAAGAAGACAAACAAAAACAACACAACGTTGTATATGAAATTACATGCAATGGCAATGAGAAAGAGAAATGCGGGAAAGTTTATGTGGGCACAACAAAAAGAATGCTTGGTGTAAAAACAGCACTGTCACAACACACAACGGAGAGTGGCCACGCAGCTGATCTAACAAATATCAAAATTTTAGATAGGGAAAAGAAGGAGGACAAAAGATATACATTGGAAAGTCTACGAATACAACAAAGGATTGCCAGATCAATAAATACCAAAGAAGACAAAGATAATACTAAACTACAGTATTCTATTGCGATTATTTAGAAACGGTTCTGTGATTTAGCTTAAGTTTAACTGTGATTCATATTTTATTGATTATTTATTTTTACTTTATATTAATAAAATGTTGTGGAGTCCCGTTTTATTAATATTAATAAGAAATAAATAATGCATAATTATTGATGTAAGTTAAATTTAAAGTGTAATATGTCACCAAACAAAATTCTTATAATGAAATATGTTTCTCATTTATAACCAGAATTCAATAAAAAAAAAACGCTTTTGAAAAAGTTGGAAACAAGTCAACGAAACGTTGAGCATAATATGAAATAAATTCGTTTATTTTCATTTAATTAACTTGACCATAAAAGCCCAATAAACCCATATTTAATAATCTCAACATTGGCCAACAAAATACACATTTATTTTAGTTCCATTCAATATGATGGATGGCAATATATCACTGTCAATTAACATATCAATCTCACTTCATTATAAGACAAAAGGATCTGCAAGTTTTATATCGCGGATTTCATTTAGCTTATACATTGGAATTGATTCAGAGATATTCTTTCTTGTTATATTTTCCATTAATAAAAGCGGTCACTTTTATCACATTGTTTGCATTTCCACACAAAGTAATGTTGCATGTTATTCGTATATGCAACTACTGAACCATTTATTCCGCTAATATTGAAATTAGACTTACTTGTTTCACACCCAATTCTCTTTGCCAATTTACTTGGTTTAATGATCGTTTAGATCCAGTATCTAATAAAGTACAAACAGTGAAAGGTTTACCATTTGATTTTTACAAGCGCAGTTGAGTTTACTTAAAAGGAACCCTATAAATATCAGGACTCAACCGCGATCAGGAAAAATATAAATGTCGAGAAACTAAACGCTAAAAAGACATAAAGAATGCCAAATCCATTTTTGCAGAGTGTTACGTTACAAATGTTACAAATACATGAAAACTGTTGTGGTTGTGTTAACCGTTCGTTTAACTTGTGTTATTGCGAAATAATATCGCTGATTTAATTTTTTAAATCTCCATAGACTATTTAAACAATATTCTGGAGAAGAGGTTACTTTTTCAGAAACAACATTTGTGTCATAGAAAAAAAATAAAATTATATTTATATGTTTGTATGTTTAAAATAACGGTTCTGTTCGGAGTAAAATACAACAATTAGAAAACTGTAACTTTAATTTAACCTTGACTCACAAAAGAGGAACAAGAAAAAAACGCATTTGAAAAAGTTCGAACGAACAGAGTAAAACAACAGCGATGCCAACTCTGGGAGATTTTGTTGTCATACGCAACAGTTTGTCTACGGCTAAACGGACAATAACAACGGCACAGCATAAATTTATCTTTGGTGAAGTAAGAGATCGATCAAACCGATGACGATTATGCAACTTTGAAGGCTTCGAGTATGCAGAGGACAGCCCTAAGTATGGAGAAAAAGTCAAATACATTAAACAGAACTTGTCAACAGCCGATCTAGTCTCAATTTGCAATTTATAATGTTTGAGTAACGATGTCGAGAATTTGTGTTCTCACATATTCACAAAATCTCAAGAAAGATATGCTGCTAACAAACGCAGAGAGTCAAACGTAATGTAGATCTATTAGGAAGTCGCATCGCCCCAACTGACGGCACCTTTAAATGTCATGAATAAATATTCATTAATATATTTTAATAACACTACTTATTTGCTGTACACTTCACTCTCCTGAATTGCTTAACTTTCGTCGTGTTCAATTTTAGGCGCCAAATAATAACGTAAATGGCCCAAATCTTGTATACGGTACTCAACCACCAATTGTACATCGGCCGACATGGACAACTGTATTTGTCCACACAAAGGACATTTAGGTAACGACAGGCGAATGTTAGGGGATAGGCTCTTGCATTTCAATAATGACTGCCTCATCATCTTTGTCCACACTTGAACATTGTGCCAAATTAACATTTACCGAACCAACATCACCAAATGCCGAAAATTTTACACCTCCCTTGGTACAACAGATAACCATAGATTCACAGAATTGCGCCAATTCTCGGAAGCGTGCAAATTCCATTGAATGCATGCGTACAACACAGGAGTAATCTGTTTCCGGAGTGCCCAAATGTTCTTGGTCGAGGTTCATCAGTTCCATTTCATAGTTGGAGACATTTTCATGATTGGGCGATTCAAACATAAAGTTAAATGTGTAGGCATTATCCTTTGCTGATCCAGTTTTTCACGAGAGCTATGACTTAGTTGGTCTTATACAAACTTCCACTAGCCCCTGCTCTCTGTGGTCCGGGAAAACTCTTTGTATTGTTTGGGGAATTTGCATCGGCTCTGCTACCAAGAGTGCTTGGTATCCACCAAGTGGCTACTAGCTTGATTGCTCGACATTCTTAAAGGGCTTTTACTGGTGTTTTGTTCTTTCTTTAAAACCATTTGATCGGGAACACTTGCTACTGTTGTGCCATGTGCTATAGTCGGTGTAACCAACATTGGCTGGAATATTAGTGGTATTTGTCGATGACGTAGATAATATTACAGTTGTGGATAGATAATATTACAGTTGTTGCGTAGATAATATTACAGTTGTGCTAATTATCAACTTGGGGCTGTTGCAGTGGTCCCCGAGAGTTGTATTATTACTTGGTTTAATTTCCACACACAACATAAAATGTAAACCAACACCTCGTTTCTGATTGGTTGAAACAAATTTGCCGCAAACTTTAAATGTCATGGCGAATGTATGTTTTCGCCTTGGATGCCAATTTTGACATTTGAGGATACCACAAAAGTTTGCTTTGTTGTAGCAATTCGCCGATGCGGTAACCTGTTAAATCTACCTTGATGAGTATTATGATGACGAACCTGAATCGACCAATGACAATGATTTAACCATTGTACCGAGAAGAAATTACTCCCAGTTAGAATGAGCAGATGTAATGTTATTGCCGTTAGTCAAATTTTGCAAAGCAAAGTTCTTATGTAGAACAGCAACAACATGTACAACGGCAATCCATGAATGGTATTTATAATAAAGACTACGAGAGCAATAAAGATATTATTACATGTCTGCAGTCACAGAGATTAGACGACACAATAACAAATTTTGATAGAGGTAAGAATTTGTCAGTTCGCTCGTGGCTGGAGGAATTTGAGGAGAATGCCAGGGTAATGTGTTGGGATCATTTCAAATGTTTATTTTTGCAAAACGTTCTTTGAAATACATAGCAAAATTGTTCATAAACACTGACAGAGTCATTACGTCATATCAACAATTAAAAAGGCTTTATTGGTCGAATTCGATACCTTGGTAAATAGTTGCCAACTTCATAAAATGTTGATGGAAAGGAAAATGTCAAAAATGAGATAAATGTTTTTAAGAAACTTCGATCTTACAAAATGTTGCAGACATCAACAGCGATAAAGAATAATCTGAGCCAGTTCAACGAAAAGCAACAAATAAATCAGAGAAGTCTGAAATTATAAACTTTTATTTTGGCGGCAAGAGTAATACATTCAAAAAATGCCGAAATATTGAAAAAGGAATGAAGTGCTTCAATTGCAACAATTACGATCATATTTCGAAATACTACGACAAATAAATTCAGACAAAGACATGAAAATAGATGTTAAGTTTGGCGATAAGAAATGGTTAGCCTTATTCGATACTGGACGTAGGTTTAACATCGTAACTGAAAACGTTTAAAAATATCAGAATAGGCCTCAGCTAACTAAAGCAAACTTTTGCCTAGTCGAATTTGGAAATAACAAAATAAAGTCAATTTGATATTTTGAATATGAATTCGAAATAAATTGTGGGAAATACGCGTCATGTTTTCAGGTTATACCATGCAAGTTATATATGCATAGATGTAAACTTTATTATTGGAAAACAATTTTGCTCGGAACAAATGCAGTTTAGTAAATTGAAAGATGAACAGTCTGAAAAAGTTAATGCATGATGGCATTGGATATTTAGAACTACGCAAAGGACACGGAATTTGATATCGGAAAAACGAAAAATGACGCTAAGAGAAAAGTTATTATTATGATCAACAACTATCGACCCGAAAAGACGAAAGGAACGAACGTGGATATTAGAATTACATCAATTCATGGTACACCAAAAACCAACCAGCTGATTACAATTTTTCTAATTGTTTTGACTTTTGCCAATTTTACCAATAATTCATTGTTTTGAAAAAATTATTGTAAGAAACGTTTATTGCGGGATGCGCATTAAAGCTATTCATCAGTATTGCCATGAATTTGAAAGATCAAAAATCCAGACATTTATTTCATTTAGTTTTATTTTTATTTATTTGTTTTATTATATTTTTATTATTATTATTCAGTTGTATATTATTGTGGTATTCAACGTATGCAGTAGCTGTATACGTTACGTTACTCGTCGCACTAACTACACAACTCTTTTTCACCTCACCAACTGATCGATAGTCGAACAATGGCAGATGACAGATCGATCACCGAAGCAATGAAACAGATGACATAAGCTTGTAATATTCGTTGCTTATGATGTAAGAAAAACAAATGTAACAAAAACGATGCAGCAAAGTGAGAGTGGTATTTTTATGGTGTTAGTGTATGTGTTGATTTCAATTGTTTTAAACAACAACAAACATACATACAAAAGATTTTTCTCAATCCCTCGACAGCGGGTTCTACGACACCGGATTGACCCGAAACCACAACACTCCAGTTCGGCCAGCGGCCAACCCAGTGTATACATGTTTGTGTTTGTTTATTTTTCTGTATTGGGAGCAGCACATCCCGGAATGCTTGCCCCGTGCCGGGCTTGAGGAAAACCCCGGACCATGGTTCTGTACGGTTTGCCAAAAAATCATCCACCATAGATCAGTCTCGGTGCGATGTAATGGATGCAGAGGATGGGTTCATTTTAGGAATTGTTCCGGTTTAACCCGGTTGCGAGACTATAGTGATGGGGACTATGTTGCTTTGTGCTATACCAACGTGGTCCCCAGTGAGTCCTCGACCTCGTCGTCAACTTCCGAGTCGTCGTCGGAGTATGGAACTCCCCCGCAGTCTCCAGAATAGCAACCTTTACCACAGCACCTAACGCCACATGTTGCAGTTCCAATTCCGGACAGTGCATCACTCTTGCAGTTCAATTGCAACGGACTCCGAGGTAAAATTGATAAGATAGTGGATTTTATGAATCGGAGGAATATTAAGATCGCAGCGGTGCAGGAAACCAAGATCAATGAAAATTGTAGCTTACAACGTTGCAATGGTTACAACGTGTTGAGGAAGTGGAGGTGGGGGATTAGCGTTCCTGTTACACTATTCTGTTCAATACAGACCTATCTTGCTTGAGCTAGTCTCTTGTGACCCATACATGGAGTGTATGGGGTAGAAGTCAAGTATGGAACTGCTGAGGTAGAGGTGCTTCATGTGTATATCCCGGGATTAGCGAATGAGCGTGATTAGCTCCTACGTACCAACCCTACTGATCCCAGAGTCAGTGAACTGACAGTGGAAGTCAACAGGTTGGTACAGGAGCATAAGCGGAAAAAGTGGCTAGACCATCTGAAGTGTTGCAACATTGGAACCGATTTGAGTAAACTGTGGGTAACGGTAAAGTCACTCTCGAACCCTGGAAAAAAGGATGATAGGACAGCAGTCACATTTAACGACGTAACTGTGACTGATCCGATGAGGTGCGCTGGCTGTTTTAACCTCCAATTTGTCGAGCACCCAGAGACTAATAGGGCGAGGCGAAGAGTACTACGTCGTATAAGAGCTCTTCCCGCCGAGGATGTACTTCCACAGTTTACGATGGATGATGTTGCGAATGTCATCCGAAACGCTTAGTCATCTAAAGCGTTGGGCCCGGGCGGCTCCGCTACTGAAGCCTGGCAAGGATGCCAGCAAAGACGAATCATACAGGCCAATTTCGCTTTTGTTGCCAGTAGCAAAGACTCTCGAGGCCTTACTCCTCCCCAGTATCAGAGGAAGCTATTCAGTTGCTAACCATCAATACGGCTTTCGTCCACTACATAGCACTACAACAGCATTGCACGCCATATCCACACATATCAGTCGAGGACTCAACCAGAACAGGCCGTGCCACAGAACAGTAGTGGTGGCTCTCGACCTATCAAGGGCCTTTGATACGGTCAACCATGCCACGCTGTTCGAGGACGTTGAGAACACTACCCCCGGCCAAGTTTGAAACGTTGGATAGTCAACTATATGTGTGGACGCCAGTCGTACGTGGAAGGGAGTTCCCTATGGTGGGGTGATATCTCCGGAACTGTTTAACTCCTACCTTTCCGGAATTCCGCGCCCTCCAGACGGCATCGAGATCGTAACTTATGCGGATGATTGTACGATCATGGCGTCGGGTCCTGTAGTTGATGACATATGTGTCAGGGTGAATAGCTATCTCGCGGAGCTTGCCGCCTTCTTCCATGCGAGGAATATGAAAATATCCGCCACTAAATCGACGGCCACACTATTTACCACATTGACTGCGGAGATGAGAGCACAGCTGAATGTGCAGGTCGAGGGGCACATAATACCGACCACCAACTACCCCAAAATCCTTGGGGTCACATTCTATAGCATGTTCAAGTCTTCCGCGCAAGCCACAGCTATTTGCGATAAAATGAAAAGTAGGAACAAGGTGCTCAAGGCGCTAGCCGGCAGCACTTGGGGTGCGGATAAGGAAACCTTGTTGATCTCTTATAAAGCGATAGGTCGGTCTGTGGTTAACTATGCGGCTTCAGTGTGGTCGGCGAATACGAGTGCAACGCAGTGGAAAAGTATTCAGACCTGCCAGAATGCCGCCCTGAGAACTGCAACAGGGTGGCTCCTCATGCCTCCTGTGGATCATTTACATGAGGAGACGAAGGTTCTTCCCTTACGTCAGCATAATAATATGCTTTCGTTGCAGTACATGCTTGGGTGTTATCGTGGGAGTCACCCTAACCACCATATGGTGGATAGAACTCCCCCACCCAGGCGTTTCAGGAAGAACCTGCATGATCTAGAGAGAGATGTCCAGCGATATAAGAGAGAGCACCTAGATCATGAAACCTATCAAGCGGGTCTGAATAGCATTCATATTGATGCAGCCGCAGAGGTAGTTAAAATAATCATTGACTGCAAAAACAAAGAAAACAAAAATATAGAAAAAACAAATAAATCAAATGAACAAATTTTTGTGAGTGTACCGTAGCTGCCAAATTTAACAAAAACAAAAAACCTCAAACAAATAATTAAAAGTACAACAACAATGATAGCACACAAATCCAATCAGACAATGCAAGAGATCTTCAAACGCACAAAAACAAAAGAAGACAAACAAAAACAACACAACGTTGTATATGAAATTACATGCAATGGCAATGAGAAAGAGAAATGTGGGAACGTTTATGTGGGCACAACAAAAAGAATGCTTGGTGTAAGAATAGGAGATCATCAAAATGTTATTAATAAAGGATTAGCAAAAACAGCACTGTCACAACACACAACGGAGAGTGGCCACGCAGCTGATCAAACAAATGTCAAAATTTTAGATAGGGAAAAGAAGGAGAACAAAAGATATACATTGGAAAGTCTACGAATACAACAAAGGATTGCCAGATCAATAAATACCAAAGAACACAAAGATAATACTAAACTACAGTATTCTATTGCGATTATTTAGAAACGGTTCTGTGATTTAGCTTAAGTTTAACTGTGATTCATATTTTATTGATTATTTATTTTTACTTTATATTAATAAAATGTTGTGGAGTCCCGTTTTATTAATATTAATAAGAAATAAATAATGCATAATTATTGATGTAAGTTAAATTTAAAGTGTAATATGTCACCAAACAAAATTCTTATAATGAAATATGTTTCTCATTTATAACCAGAATTCAATAAAAAAAAAACGCTTTTGAAAAAGTTGGAAACAAGTCAACGAAACGTTGAGCATAATATGAAATAAATTCGTTTATTTTCATTTAATTAACTTGACCATAAAAGCCCAATAAACCCATATTTAATATTCTCAACATTGGCCAACAAAATACACATTTATTTTAGTTCCATTCAATATGATGGATGGCAATATATCACTGTCAATTAACATATCAATCTCACTTCATTATAAGACAAAAGGATCTGCAAGTTTTATATCGCGGATTTTATTTAGCTTATACATTGGAATTGATTCAGAGATATTCTTTCTTGTTATATTTTCCATTAATAAAAGCGGTCACTTTTATCACATTGTTTGCATTTCCACACAAAGTAATGTTGCATGTTATTCGTATATGCATTAGACTTTACTTGGTTTAATGATCGTTTAGATCCAGTATCTAATA